GCTTTTTGAAGAAGAATTTCTGGAGGAAATTATCTTAATTTTTGTTTGAAAATTAATTTTTAAAGGAGTTTCTTATTCCGGAAGTGATTTTAGAGGAATTTACATGGACCACCTTTATTTAGAAGCTTTTCTAACTAAAAAAAACATTTCATAAAAAGTAGACAATTGGATCTCAAATGTTCATTTAGACTTTTCAAAATTCATACCAAACGAACCCACCGTTCAAGTATTAAATGTATTAATTTAACAACACTTATCGTTCATAGGCACAATTCAAGTTGAATCACGTGTCTAAACCAGCCAACCAGACACCATTTATGGGTTGGGATTTGTTTCAGATATGAAAAAGCAATTCGACTAACTTAAAGCACAAAATCGACTTTTGAATCTATCATCTATGTTGTTTCATAGCATATATGGTATGTTAGATGGAATAGTAAGAGAAATTATATGTGATCATGTTCAGTGTTGTCCAGTACTGTTTACTAAGCATATAATCAAGATCGTTTAGAAAAATAAATAAAACAAAATTCAATTATGTGTTTTCAACATCTTATTTGCATACCAACTCCTAGGGCATATAAGGTACATACTAAAATGAACATTGTTATTAGTCACCCCGTGCCTCTCCCTAACTAATAAATAAATTACAATACAATGAAAAATAAAATGTGGGCCCTTGAAAAGTGTCTACAAGATGAAATAATAATAATAATTTCTCAAAATGTTGATTAATAAGGAAATTAACCTTATTCTTTAATGGGCTTTCCATTTTCTTTTAGCTTGACAATGGATTCTTTCATGGCCTCCTTTCTCTTTTTGCTGGCCAAAATTTTGGCCGTTAAACCACTTATACTTGGGTCTTTTTTCTCTTGTGGGGGAGGTGGTGGTGGCCTTCTAGCAGCAGCCCTTGCTTCCCTATCACCACCATTCATAACAAAAATTGCACCTGCAAGCCCTAATAAAACTCCCCTGCATTGCACACTTCACACTATTACGACCGACTAAGTAACGCACTTTACACGCTTATTCCACGTATGAGGCTCTAATGTAAAAAAGACATGTATTACATATGTGAAGGCATCAATGCACATTCCCGCACACACAAACCAAATGAAAGAATGGCATGTACAATTATACACAATGACATTATCAATGAACATACCTACGTATCACTTGTTTGTCTTTTGAGACATCGTCGAAACTTTGACTGCAACCCCATACCTTGTGTATATGCGAGAATGGCGAAGGAGTCGTCTTCCTCGATATTGCTGTGGTTGGTGCTTGGAGGGATAATAAATGGCTCATCATTGCCCTATCCCTTGTTCTTATTGTTTGATTTTCAAATGAATCGACATTTTTATCTGCCCCCAAAAAAAAATCATGTATGGATAGCGTTTACATCTTGAGTTTGAAGTTGAAGATTTCATTGGCTGTTTCTTGATAAGGTCTCACTTTTGTGGACCCTACCCATCTATGGCAAACAAATGAATCCTAACAACCACAGGGTCCACAACTTTTCACGAAACTGTGGTGTATTTAGATCCACACGGTAGACACACCGATGTATAAACAAGAAAATGAAAATTGTTCAATAAATTACTTTTGTATTTGTATATAAAACAATTTATTTCTTCTACAGTTCAGAAATAAATTATTTGAGAATTTAATGGCTCTTCTACTGGACAGAAAATACACGGAATGGGGTATAATCTTGAGCTCGTCAATGGGAAATACAGCTAGAGAAAAACCATGTTCGCAGCCAAAAAAAAAGATTAAATTATGTAAAATTGCATTTCATGTCAAATAAATTCCAACTACAATTTCTCAACTAAAAAGGCCAAGAAAGAGGCAAAAAATGGTAAAACAGGTAACAGACTAACAAAAACAATGGTTTCAGATGTAGAAAACAAAATCGTCAAGACTATTCCATTCTAAAACTTTTTCACTCATCATCGTCGTCTTCGTCTCCTGCTCCTGCAGCATTTAGTGCATTCAATCTTTCAATCAAACGAGCCTTCCTCTCATCGTAGGTGAGCTTCTTCAAGTTGTACCTGGGTACAAAATAGGAAGAAAAGATTAACAGAGCACTCACAGTAACATCTTAATATGTTCATGAAAGGAAATAAGTCAGTTGCGAAACCAATAAACTAAAAACCTATAATCATGCTCGTAAAATAACAATATAAAATGCACAAATTAGAAATTGTTTGGGAATAGATTATAGGACTTGTGGATCTCGGAAATGTGTCAATAAAAAGTAGGTTTGACTGATTATTATTATAAATCATCTGAAAGTATTCTACGAATAGGCCAATAAAATTTCAACAGGCATAAACCACAGGCAACTGACATTTGTAAATAAGAACCACTGCACGTAGAAGAATTCATGACAACTTGGACAGACTGGATCCAACGCAAGTGAAACTATTTCAATACCTCTTGTGTTCCTTAGGTGGCTGTTTCTCAGATTTCTTTATGGTCGGGTCAGCACGGATGGCTGCATGGACTTTCTTGTACAATTCCTCGAGACAATCTGGCTCAAGTCCTTTCTTGATATACTCACTGAAGTGTGATTGATACTTTTCTGGTTCATCTTCCATCAATGTCTGAAATATTTAACGCAAACTGAGGAAGTCAGATTTCCTTTCTTTAATCGCAAAAGTTATCTCCAGTTACAATAATAGAATAGTAAGACTTCAGAAGTTTGACATCACCGTCATGTATGCAGCAACGTGGCCACCATAAATGTATTTCCTGTGAACCTCAGCATCAAGCTGCTTAGAATCCTTCACAAATCCAGCAAACCTCTTGTCACTGTGGGGAACGTCCAATCCTCCATCCAGCGCTCCCTGCAGTTAGTAACAAAAATATTACATTCAACATGGATGTATGCTAAGAAAGTGCAGACGGTTCTATGAACCGTGTTACGGTCTGGAGAACAAATAATCACTGAGCATCATAAGCCATTACCACAAAAGTCTATGACCAATGATGCAAAAACTCTAGAAACTTTTTTCAGATAGTTTTCAGTAAAAACATATCAACAGTCACATAATTAAGCAGTTGGAAACCTTAACATTTGAAAATGTAGCAGTTTATGGCGAATCATTAAGTGAATAATGAGTATAAAACACAGGAGGAATACTATATAAACCACATAAGAACATGCTTTAAGATATACCTTCAGAGCACCAAAAACACGATTTCCAGTAGTTGTTCTAATAAGACCTACATCAAGAAGAGCACGGAAAGGCCTTCTGCTCTCAGCTGGCTCAACTGAGTAATCCTCTCCAGTTGCCTAGCAATAGAAAGGTCTCAGAAGAAGAGATACATACGGAGGAATGACAAAGCAATAATGAAATGATATTAGAATTTAAAGGCCATGATAATACCTCCACATTGCCTTCATACTCATCATCCATCTCAAGCGTTTTTAAGACACGGCGAGCCAAAAGAAGCCCAGTACAGTAAGCTGATCACGAGATTGAAATTAATATCCCCTCAAATAATGTGAACAAAAGGGATATAGAGGTAGCCTTCTTTGGGGGAAGAGATCCAGGGTGAAGGGGAGGGAGTGACACCATTTTGATACCTGCTGCATAATTTGTGAGACCCACTTCAAGTCCATAGTGAGGCAGTTCATGGGCATATGCTGCAGCCAAAACAATATCTCCAGCTATACTAGCAGATACTATTTGTGCAATAATATCTTGGTTGGTCTATAATGACATTAAGGTTCTCAACTCTAAATAAAGTACAATATCCCATATTTTTTCTTCATTGAGAACAAGTAACCAAATAAGACAAATAGAAATAAATATTTGGATCCATTTTCCATTGTAGACATAAAGGCCGCAAAGTTTTTTCACTTGGAACACTAAAAGCAGAGCAAGAGAAACTCTTGAATAAACAAATTCAATTTAGCAGTTACAGATTAGGCGGATACAAATCGCACGACAAATCGATACTTTGGCGTGTTGTATTTGTTCTTGTCCTGATTAATTAGGCGAATCCTTGCCCTATAATCAGTTTTCCCCTCTGCATTTTGACAAAACAAACGTCACTCAATAGAACCATACACTGTGTATCCATTAGATATGGCATCAAAGATCTACAGAACAGACAAATGCAGGATGCAAAGCTCATACTATACCTCTCCTTCTCTTATACTTGACCTGAAACCTCTTGAAGTATGCTCTTGACTTTTGTGCTTTGACAAAGGCCTGCCATGAACACGTTATCGCTAAGTCATTTATTTTGAATATTCCAAACACGTTACTCATTATTCACAGCAGAACAAAACATGAACCTATGGTGCCACAGATATTTTATACATACACAATGCCTATAAGCACATGACTGCGCAAGCACAAACTCACAACTTAAAGCTGCATTAAAGATACCAATGTATACTAAAATTAAACATAGAACAGGTAAATTTAGTCACCCCTCCAAATAACTAAATTTTATATGTGAACCTTAATCCCAAAAAAACATACAAAGCCATAAATAGACACCTAATTATTGGAAGTGAGATATCTCCTTAAGCTAGACCTTGACAGAGCAACAATGAGATTTGAAACTATAATACAACATAAAACAAAAATAAATATTGCCTTTGAAGCCAAACAAAATTAATCCAGTAAATAAAGTTCAATTAAATAGATAAAAATGTATTCCCCATGCCATATTTTTTAAAGCTTCCAAACTTTTTGCCGAGTTAACAATTCCAAAAGAAACCAGGAATACTGAATACAATTTTTTTAACTTGATAGATCTAAACCCACTTACGTAAAAAATGCAAAAAAATAAAAAAAAAAATTAGAAAAATGATTTATAAACCCAGAATCTTCAACTCCTTTCACTATATCGTTTTACTCATTTTCAACGAGACAATGATAAAACTAATTAAAAAAAACACACAAACTTAAACCTGATTTTTACTGTTTCGCTAGTTCTGCTCTAAATTTCTCAGCAGACAAATATTAACAGTTTGAGTTGAAATTCCCAAAAATATCAGTCAAGTACTCTGTACTCAGACGTGTAAACATCCATGCGTAAACACGTAAATGGGACATGAAAAAATGATCACCAAAAAAGATAGAAAAAGAGTAAGAAAAAGAAGAAAAGATCGAAACCAAATTACCTTAAATTTACGAAAAAGAAAAAATAAATAATGATCAACAAAAGTAAAAACCCAGAATATTCTTTCCATTTTACTGCATTTTAAAAATATAGACTCCCAATTCAAGAAAGACAAAGTTAAATCCCCGATTTTACACTTTCCACTACAATTTCTCAGATGAAAAATATTAACAGATTGAGATGAAATTCCCACAAACGTCAGACAAAAATGCATGTGCAAAAATGCAAAATGTAAAAATTAATAAAAGACAGGAAACTAAGTAAGGGTTAAGAAGAGTTACCATTGTTGAAGCGAGAGAATGAACCTCCGTTGCAGGAAGAGTGGGCGAGAATGGTGATTTAAGAATTTTATATCTAAACCCTAAATCTAATTTGTGTGACCCAAAGACCTAAATATTTGGGCTGAAACGGCCCATGTAGAGGGGACTGGTTAGCCCATAGTTTATAGTTTAATCTTTATTTTTAATTGTAGCATGTGTTTGGTTTCCTAATAAGTTACTTATAATCTTCTTGTAATGCAAAAAATAACAAATCTATAATTTTTTTTTAATAATAAGTAGATAGTAGTTGTGAACGTATGATTAAAGTTATAGATTAAACCCCTGTTCGGGTCACATTAAAATTTTCATTCTCATTCTTCTACTCATTTTTAATCACACATTTTTCAATAAAATAATATTTTTCATCACATCAATAAATTTTTATTCTTTTTCGACAACACGTTCTCCATCAATCTATTATTTCAAAATAATATGGCTCAAACACACCCTAATTTTAAGTGGGTGTTTGGTGGAGATTAAAATTAAATTTTTAGTAGATTGTGATAGAAAATTTTGAAATGTGTGGTTGAAAAGTTGTGGAATCCATAAAAGATGTGATTAATATTGATTGTTCGATTTTAACTTAAATTAAAATCTGATTTTAATTCGAAACAAACGAGGCCTAATTGTTTCTTATAAGTAATTTATAAGAAAACACAAGCATGTGCTTAATGTGTTCAATTAACATTATTACTTATTAGTAACTTAATTTACTTCTACTATCTAGTCAAAATTGAACTGAAATTCAACCACACAATCAAAATATTACTCGTTATTATTCATATATTTCTTGATCCTACTACTGTGTCTCCTACAAATTTCCTAATAAGTTGATAATAACCAATCCCAAATAGGAGCTTGATTTATTTAAAAGTCCATTTTGAAGAAATCCACGACCCTAGTGTAAGGACACAAGTAAAAGGTTCTACCTCAAAATTAAACATTGATCTTTGTTAAAGAATAAATTTACAAAGTTGATATGTACATGTCGTGACTCTTTCATCTCAAGAAGCTATGATATTGTATGCATGCCTGCAAGTAAAAAATAAATTTAACAAATTGGAGTAATTGCATGCATTTCAAGTGCATTTATTTATTTTTACTATTGTAGTTCTATATCGTAAAGGCACTTCGATGATTTATAGACGAAATTTGGTGTTGTTGAGCTAACTCGTTAAGTAAGCAAGTTAGCAAGTTCAAATCAATAAGTTAAAAAGGCCTTTCAAAGTTAACATTTTAAAAAATATTTTTTTTTTTTAAGAAAAAAGATATATAAAAGCTAGAGCCGGCCTCTAACTCTTTCATTCATTCGAATCGGTGAGCGGAGGTCAAACTACACAAGAATCAAAAGAGCACTTGAGAAAAGGTTAATAGTGTCGTGTACATAAATTAACGTCATTAGTTATCTCATCAAATTCATCAACCGAATCAATTTAAATTACTAAAGTAAGTCGATATTTGAGCTTTGCAAGTGACAATAAAACTTAAAGCCAAGATTATTCATTCCACATACTCTCAACATAAAAATGAAAAACGCGCTCATTTGAAAGGATCCCAAAAATTCATTCCACGCTTTTAGACAAACAATCTCTTAATTAAATCCACTAAATTGGACATCATAGTCCACATGTTGGTCGACTTCTCAGCTCGACCTCCTTATTAGCTAACCAAACTGCTCGTATTACAAATACTAATAACTAGTATCTGTGAAGATTAATGGAAATCAACTACATTTTAACTATCAATACTTTTATTTATAACAAAAAGTCCAAAATATAATAAGCAAAAACTTTTCCGTACAAGAGACTCTTGTATATCGACCCTATCAATAAGCATTTCGCAACACATCACATGCACGTAATGGAGATAAATAGCATTATTATACCTATATAGTGACTAATTTCAACGAAATCATAACCCCGGTGACTAAATTGAAATTTCATATCAAGACCTTCACCGCCTTAATGTAATTAGACTAATTCCTTACCCCAAACCAGTTCTTGAATCTCCCTTCATTTCTCCCCTAGGTTACTTATTAGGTAATGTGAATGTATATAAGTATACAAGAGTCTGTATTTTGTTCTTTCGTGTTTTGATGGCTTCAGATCTTGAAGTTTTGTGATGGGTTTTACAGGGACGAACATATTTTTGTAATCGGAAACGACTATGTCTTCAGCTCAAGACCCTTTTTACATTGTGAAGGAGGAGATTCAAGATTCCGTAAGTATTTTCTTTGTTTCCCTTTTAAATCCCACATAAATAATTCTTTTTATTTGCTGAATATTTGTCATCGCCTTCAGGAACTTCTTTAATTCTACTTGGCGAATTGCGAGATGAAAATAGGGTTTATTTGAATTCATGCAACATCCGTGTTTTTTATTTATAATATTCCTATGGGTTTTGTGGGATTTGCTCATTTGAATTTAAGAATTCTTCTACCTGCTGAGAGGTCCTTAGTGATGCTAAGCTTATCGATTGGTAAGAAATCAAGAACGGGATGGTGAAAAGGTACCAGAAATGAAAGATGGATAACAAAAAATGGGATTAAAGCGACACCAATATGAATAAATTTGAATATGTAGCATTTATGTGGAAAAAAAACATGGGCGAGTTTTCAATGAGAAGGGCTCCTTCTGCATCCCTTGATTTTCTGGTAAACCAGCTAAGTAGGTTGCATAGTTCTAATCAAGTTTCGAAATGTTTGAAGCTTCTAAGTGTTTATTACTATCGTCTCTCTTGCATTATTTGTTTGACATAAGAAACGATAATAATAAAACATATGCTGTAAGTGTGTCAGCACTTAAACATTATCAGTAGGAAAATTTGCTCAATATGATTTGGCTTGAGTGAATATAGCCCCTTTGATAGAGATTAAAATCAGATTTTCTGATAAAAGTTGATGGAATGTGTGGTTAAAAAGTTGTGGATGTTATAAAATGTGTAGTTAAAATTAATTATTGACTTTAATTTATATTTTAATCAGATTTTTAGCGGTACCAAACAGGGGCATAGTGTTGTAGATTGTTTTTTGCAGCTTTGAGATGGAATAAGTTGTAAGGGATTGCTTGTCACATGGAAGCAAAGGATTGAATTTTCCAATTTGACCACTATGTAACCCAAACAATAACAAAACTAAGTCTCATTCCCAATAAATTCAAAGTTGGCTGCATGAACCCTATTTTGCCATTCTGTTTGATTCATAGTTTGAACAAAGTTTTACTTTGCCGTCAATCACTACAACCCTCTTAATGTTCTGGGGCTTGGGACTAGCTATGAAAAACATAGATGGAGTTTATATGGCCCAAAAATGTATCAAACATAATTGAGCAGTCTAACACAGACTAACACTAGAACATCTATATATATAGCAGGAATAGAGAAAAAGGGAAAAGTTATCTGATCCCACGGGGTTGGTAAAGCGTATTCACCTGCCTTTTTTTTCTTTTTGCCGTCTAATAAATTGTTCATCCTACAGAACCGATGGATACACTTGGACCAGATTTTATGTTCGGAATGTTTTCTAAGTTGCAGTTTGCATCGAGTCTCTTGCTGTGTGGATTTGTTGAAATATAAACTGACTCAGTGCTGGCTTGATTAGATTGATAAGTTGCTCTCAACATTTCACCAATGGGAACAAATGATTTCTGACAATGGAGAGAAACGTCATTTCTCTAAGGAGCTTCTCGCTGGTTGCGAGAGCATCGAGTGGCAGGTATGGATTTACATTTGATCCGTTGGAGGTATTGGATTTTGCTTTTGGTCACTGATTGATCATACACCTTTGGACTGGTTGACATGCAAAGTTTGCTTCCATATCATTTAGATGCATTTATTTGTGTGATGCTATTTCTGCACTCTATTTTTACTTTTCACTGTATAACTTATTACATTAGATTGCAATGCCCACTGAATGCCATTATTTTAAACAGTGTCTATGTCTCGACATCACCATCACAACAATGATACAATTGCTGCATTAACAATGGCGATAATAATAGTACTTAACTAGTTATTTTCCGTTGTCTTGGATTTGAATTGTATATCAAAGTGAAGGAATTTCATTTGCAGAAATTTATCTATGGCTTTCAAAATTACTAATTAGTAGGGTGTAGCCTGTTCTGTCAATACTGAAAATTGGTTTTCCCGATAGGAAGGTGGATGAATTGGACAAAACAATTGCAGTTGCAGCTAGAGATCCTTCTTGGTATGGTATTGACGAGGCAGAGCTTGACAAACGGAGAAGATGGACTGCTAATGCTCGTATGCAGGTATCAGCTATAAACCACTCTTTTTATTATACTTGATTACTTTAAAAGCATGTTTAACTGAGCTTAGAAAAGTAGAAGTTACTTCTAAGTGACTTTCTCTTTCCACACATGTTTGGATATGGTACTTGTTAAAAAAAGTTACTAAGTTCCATTTTGACCAATAAAGAAGTTGTTAATTTTAACACTTATTTGCTTACAAGTAAACCCTTTAAGCTTAGCCAAACATGCTCCAAGGTGTTGTATAAGAACTGGTACGTTTTTTGAGTATCATTGTTTTGATGTGCAAAGTGAACCAGACTGTGTATTGCAATTATGTTTTTCGGTTTCCCAAGTTTCAAGATGTCTAAGGGATCATTATGATAAATAGGTTGGAAACATGAAAAAACCTGTAATGACTGGGAAGCAGTCAAGTGGCACAAGCACTTCTAGTGTTAATGGAATGCGGCATGAACTAATGAGACTGCCAGATTCTCATCAGAATGACAAATCAAACCAGTATGCTGCACCAGATAATGATGATTTCATATCATCGGAATCAGACAGACAGCTACTTCTCATAAGGTGATATTGTTGTTCAAGACCTTCCCTTTCTTTTTATCTGTTATACACCTGAACATAGAGCGTGTTTGGCTAAAAATTAGTGGCAGACTCATCTTATTTTTTTTTTTTCTAATGTTTTATCATCCCGGCCTTACTACTAGCCATTAGTTTTAAAATTATGACCCTTTTGTTAGAAGCTTATATTATAGGGACCTAATTGATTGTTTACTATATTTTAGATACCCATTTTGCAATTTGCAAAAAAATTGCAATTTCATTCCCCGTCTACATACCCAAAAAATCGCTATTATAAAGGAAGTAATATTCATTCCTTTTATGTCAATGTATATTCCTGTGTGTGTTTATAGATAATGAGGAAGAACCTAGAGTATTCATATAAATTTTAGGAAAAGGGATATGAAGGTCTCTATTTGGTATCATATTCACTTAAAAGAGTCAAAACCCACCACATTTATAGGGTATACAGAGGAGTTTGTCACCCTGCACCTTCACTCCCCTGGCACCAGCTCTGTAGATTTGGATGTGTATTAAATAGCGCTACTGATTTGTCAAGTAGAATTATCCCTTCTGGTGTTTCAATTTTTCTGATTTTGATTAGAACGCAGGCGGCAGGATGAAGAATTGGACGAACTCAGTGCCAGTGTCCAAAGAATTGGAGGTGTTGGGCTCACTATACATGAAGAACTGACTGCACAGGTAATTGTTATCTTAAGCACCACATATATTTAAAAGAGAAATGATCTACTAAGCAAAGATGACATGACACAGCAATCTATTGCTGGATAACGAATTTAATTCAAATATTGACACCAACTGTAGATTATCTACCAATGGATTGATGGGCCATGTTATCGATACTTAGCGTAAGTTAAGCTCCGGTGTTTAGTAAATCATTTCTCACAGTTAACATATCTTGGCAGTTGCATTTGTGACTTACAAGTTTAGTAGTACTTATCTTATGTTGAATTTTCTGAGATCTTCCCAACGTGGAATTTATGCTTAAAATGAAAGCTGTACAATGTCTCAGGAAAAAATTATAGGTGAATTGGGTACAGAGATAGATAGTACAGCAACTCGTCTCGATTTTGTTCAGGTGATTATCTTCCCTTTGTGATAGCCACGATTTCTCTTCAAATGTTCCATCTGATAAGTGAAAATGTTTATTAGCAATCACATTGTTATTTAAACTGAACATGTGTGCAGAAAAAGGTTGCAATGGTAATGAAGAAGGCCGGTGCCAAGGGTCAAATTATGATGATTTTGTTTTTATTAGTTTTGTTTATTGTTCTTTTTGTGCTCGTCTTCTTCACATAGGCTAAGAGAGCAGCAACCTGGAAATCGAATTATACATGGTTTTGAGTAGTAGAATAAACTGGATGAGTTTTTAGCTGTGTAATGTATTGTTTGTGGATTTAAGTTTTGGTAAAAGATAATTATTTTGGCACAAATGATTGCGTATTCTTGTATTCATAAAATGTGATTTTGACTCCTTTATTGTTATACCATAAATTCGCAATGCTTGATCATACCTTACCAGATTAGCTGCCAAGGTATGATCAAGAAGCCAACAGTAGGCAGATTTATACCATGTTTGGCTTAGCTTAAAGCACACAAAGGAAGCCAAAAATGACTTCTTTGTGGCTTTTCTTAATCGGGTGATGACACTGTCCAAAAAAAAAAAAAAGTTGCTTTTCTTGTAGAAGCAGAGCCAAACACGCTTTTAATGGCGAGTACTTGAGCTCTTACTGATTTACGACTATTCACAAATCTGAATTTGTTGAATATAACATAGCTCCAAAGAAAGATGTTAACAGTTAAGAGTGCCCAACTTCAAGAATGCTCTCTTACGAGTTCAACGAAGGAAGCCAATGAAATTATGGCAGAAGAGAGGTTATTCTAAAAGCACTAAGACGGGGACTAATAAATATGAGTTATGTTACATGTAAAAAGTTGGGTTACAAAGTTGGTTGATAAAATAATATCTACACCAATTATTTTAAAAATAGATTTTTAAATCATTTGAAATTAACGGTTTGGATTTTGCCCACACACTTTGTAACTCAACTTTTGGAACTCAATTTTGTACAAATAGCTTTATTGAATAAATATAGCAAGCGAGATTATATTTTTCCTCGAATCATTCATATATGTGTAGATATAGTATGGTTCATTTGTTCTTCCGAGCTTTGTTGAGAAAATTGTCACATTCAGGTAAAACAAGATGAACACAAGTTTAGTCGGTAAAAATTCCCAATGGCCATTGGTAAAATATATTAAAGTTCAGTGATTTTTGGGAACAATATCGTAAGGTATGTTGATTATTGAGATTTTTAACCCGACTTTAGAAGATCAGGATAGGTACAAGAATTTTAATTTTATAATTCACAAATCTTAACCCCTTTCGACTTTGTGACCTCCGAAAAAGAATTTAGCTAATCGACACACAACCTCAACTCTTTATTATTTTTTAATCGCTGTTTTCATCTAAAAAATTATGTTATCGTGCTTTAAAATAAAAGAGAAAATGATGCATTGTTGTGTTTATTATTTTTTTTGCTTATTTACAAATAAATATGAGAGATGAGGTAATTTTTTAACAAAACTTTTGAATGAAAATAATCACTCGTGGTTCGACCCGTTTGCCGCTCCTATCAGGCACTGAGGCTGAAGCCCAGTGGACTTAAAATAGAATTGAAAAGTGGAAATTACACAATTCCCTACTTTTCAAAATCCATATTCTAAAATCAGATTTGAACTTTTAATTTTCAAAAATCAGATATTTTGAAATTAGATACATTATATAATATAATTAGATATTTTATTTTTAATTATTAAATATTAATTGTACAATTTTTATTCGAACCCTAATCAATTTCATCCAAATTTTCTCTCACTTCTCTCCATCACTCTCTCTACCTTATTCTCTCTGCCGCTCTCTTTTCCCTTCTCCACTCTCCGCCGCTCTCTCTCTCTCTCTTCCCTCTCTTCACTTCTCTTTCGATCCCTCTCTCTCTCTTCTCTGACCCACTGTCGCAACCACCAACGATCTGCGAAGCACCGTGGTGGCGAAGCACCTACTATGGTGGTGAACCACCAACGATCTGCGAAGCATCATAGTGGCGAAGCCCCGGAAGCTCGCCACGGTGCTTCGCCAATCTGCCAACCAGATCTGGTGGCGATCTGCGAAGCCCCGCAGCGATCTTCGTGAATCTAGTATCAAACTCTCTCGCTGGTCGTGTTGGGGGTGGTGCGGTGCGATGCGCGGCGGTATGTGGTAGTGGTGGACTGTTGCAGTGTGGGCATGGCGATGGTAGTATGTGGTGGTGGTGAATTTGTGCAGTGTGGTGCTGCGTGGGGTTGGTGGTGGGATCTGGTTTTGGAAAATGTCGCAGACTGGTGGTGTGTATGCGCGATGGTGGTGCGGTGGTGTGTGTATGCGTACGTGCGGCGGTGGGTGTCGGAGTTGGTGTTGGCACTGGGGGGTTTTCTATTTTTTTGGTGACACTAGGTGAAACGGTTCTGGTGAAACGATTGTGGATTCTTTTGGTGGGGATGGTGGTGATGGGTGTGCTGTTGCGGGTGTGCTCTGTGTGTGTATGTTTTGTGGATTCTTTTGGTGGGGATGGTGATGATTTCGGGTGGCGGAGGTGATTGTTGGTGATGGTGTTGTTGGCGGCGGTGGTGTTGGTGCTGGAGATTGTCGTAGTTTTTGGTTTGCCGTTGATTGGTGAGGCTATGTTGGCGACGTTAGTGATGGTGGTTGTGGTGAGTTGCCGGCTGTGGTGGCAGCGGCGGAGTAGGGTTAGGGCATGTAAGACGGTGGTGGAGGTGAGGTGGTGTTGTATA